GATGCCGTTGTTATTGCTGTTATTGATCTTGCTGGTGCTTATGCTTCTGTTATTGTCGTCGTTGTTGATGCCGTAGTAGTAGTAGTAGTTGTTAGGGATGGGCGGTTATTGAAAAATAACCGGTTATCGGTTAACCGGTTATTTTTCTTAGTCGGTTAAACCTGAATCGGTTAACCTCTACCTAAAAACCGGTTATTGAAATAACCGGCCCTTTTAAATTTTTGTGAGTGCTCTAATTTATCTCTGTATTAAAAAATTGTGTAGTCATGTATCTGATTTAAAAATTTATATTTTTTTACTTTTATTCAAACACCAAGCAGTGCTTATATTTATTTTTTAAAACTTTATCAAATGGTTAGGTTTTCATATCGAGGAGAAATAAAACATTGATTTGACAGCTGAAATTTATTGTTATTTTGACACTTCTTCATAATGACCAACATGTTTTGTCCCGCTAGGGAGGCCTAATTAGCGTAGTCCGACCCACAGACCACTAAATAGGATGTCCAGCCAACGATGGCTTAAGTCTGATCACAGCAAAATAAATATTTATTTATTTTGTCTATGCTGTGGTCTGATCTACTATCAAGTTTAGGGATAGAGCACAATATACTTTAATCGTACAGTGAGCTAGAGCTAAAATTTTCACTCGGTCTCGGTAAAATAACCGGCACGCGGTTTTTGACATAAATAATCGGTTATCAGGTTAAACCGAAGTCGGGAAATAACCGGTTTTTGACCGGTTAACCGACGCACAATAATCGGTTATTCATTTAACCGGTTATTTTTGCCCATCCCTACTTGACTCTCTGTTAAGTTCTGTTCGGCAAGCGTGCGCGGATGTTAATCGAATGGCACGACATTTTTTGACCAGGACCGTACTAAGATTTATTTCTTCGCTACAAAATTTAAGTTCAATTTTCTTTAGAAAACGTGGATATATGAATTTCTTATATAAGGCTTTTTTATTGCATATATTCCTAGGAATCTGCATTTTATTTTTTCTGCACTAAAGACGCCACACCCTGTATTGGATTGTATATTTCGCCATTCAATTTTTTTCAAAAATCGAGCCGTTACATCTTAGGTATTTTTCTGGGAAAATATGAGAAACTCCTCATAAGTATTGAATTTTGTCCACCCCGTACGATTGATCTGCGATATCGATACGCAGTTGATAAAATTTTTGTTGATAATTTTAACGAAAACTTATAATGAATAAAAATGCTGATTAAATAACATACATTTTTAGTAGTAGAAGAATATGGCATGCACATTATGTGTAAAATAACTTTTCCCACTCAAGGGAAAATCCCACTCCTGAGAAAAGTATTGCTTTACATACTCCTACCTTGCGTAAAAAAATATTTTAAACTCGTTTCTTTAACCGCTAATAGGTCAACACACAGTAAGAAGCATGAGCTTAATACACATTCCAGACCAACCAAGCTCCTACATCTCATTTATAAACTCCCGATTCCATGCCAACCCCACCTCCAGCCATAACGTAAAAAATGAAGACGTCGTCACTCCGTCAAGCAGCAGACATTCCGAGAGGTATACCTCAAGAGCCGAGTCTCTAGAAAGCCTAGAAACGCCCCGCAAATCCCGATCGAAAGAAATCTTCTTCAGCCTCAACAGCAAGGAAAATCCCTCCAGGCGAAAAACCGCCAAGGCGAAATCTACGAAGAAAAAGAAGAACCTGAAGCCCCTGCAGGTGTTCAAGAAGACCGTCCAGTTGAGCGAAACCTGCGAGATGAATTTGCCTCCGCTTATGGTAGCTGGGTTGAATAATGAGTGGGTTAACCTTTCCGATTCGGGAGACGAATCCGATAGAGAAAAGGTCGTTATGAAGAAGTGTTCTAAAGTATACAAAACTCCCTCTAATAAGAAATCTGACGAGGATTATGCTCAAAAATATAGCAAGTCTTTGGCATGCGGCAAGAATGTCTCAGATGGTTTCATCGATAACATTTTCACGTTGTTTGATAAGGTCAAATTAGGTAATGTTTTAAATAACTGTTTCGTTTGTATTCTCTCAACACCTCCCCACGTCTCTTATCCCTCTTCTTTTGTAAATAATAAATATTAATGTCTTCAGTGTCTTCACAAATAAAATTTATTTCCTTTGCTTCTCTTCTCCTTCTTCGTCTCCTCCATTGGCTTCCTCCTCTTCTGCTTCTTCATTTTCGCTGCATACAATCATACATAGACGCGTGGCTATAGCTTATTCCTGAAATGTGCAGGACAAGACAGTAGAAAAGGTGTCTCATCTCGTGAGTCAATTTTTTTCCATTTCATAAAAGGGCTCCTGGTAATAAATCAAAATTCCATTTAAATATAAAGCTAAGTTAGGTTTTAAGCTTTAAAAATCGACTTTCTAAATCCTTTTTTATTAATAACTTTCGGAGAGACGGAAGGTTAAAGTTATGCATTTTTGCCCTTGACGGGATATAAAATAGAATTTTGCAAAAATGATTGGGCCCACAGCGCCTGTCTTTTGCACGGTTTTGAAGAACAATAAAACTCACAAACTTATAGCCATATTTATAAAATTCCAACAAGTAACAACCAAATTATGGATAATTAAAAAAATTCTGTTTTTTCATGAGTTTTTGCAATAATTTTAATCCATCTAAAATCAATAGTTTTTCAAATTATTGGAAAAACTGATTTTCGACCCAAATTGTTTAAAAAACGTCGCTTATATAAAAAATTGACTCACTAAATGAGATACCTTTTCTACTGCTCTCCCCCACACACTTCAACAATAAAATAGCGGATGTCAATTCATCGATGTTCAAGTATTATAGCGACCGCAACTAAACTAGGATGTCCGAAATTTATGAGAAAAAAATTTAGTGGGTGATTTTATTAATAATAATAATAATAATCTTGACATTTTTTTGGAAGCAAAAACAATTGATCGTCACATATGCAACTTCTAGACACAAGTTATCATGGAATCTGAAAGTTTTTCTAGTCTTAGCAATTCATTTTGTTGTTCATTTGTTTCAATAGTTCTTGCTAATCGACAAAAAGTCACTGGGGTAATCTTTATCGGTATAAACAAAGCAGATTCAAATCCTGCTGCATTTGTACCATAAGAGAAAAATAAATACTGTGAGAAAACAAATATAGAAATTTGCATTTGCATTTAAGTTATTATCATTTATTCCTTTCTTACACCAGGGTCTGCAATTTTTGTTATCAAAATTTGTAAAGATTCATTTTTAATTAGGTTTGATAGTTTCAATTTGTTTATTCTTGTCTAGTTTCATGACTAGATATATCATATGATGTATGCGCGCTCCGTTTTCATTTAATATTTTGGAGAAGAAATTGTTTAAAAAAATCTGATTTTAAAAAAAGTATGCTAAATGAGCCCATTAATAAGTGATGAATAATTTTTTGATCAATGGACCAATGTATTATGTTTCTTGCACCATTATTTTTTGAGTGTATCCCCAAAATTTTCTGCTCATACTTTCCAGACATCCTACTGTTATCACGCATCATTACTTAAAATTTAAACTCCTATCCTTAACGAAATTTTTATCTTAGAGAGCAAGAAACATCAGGGTAAAGGACCAAAAGGAAGCTTGCCATGCAAGAACGGGATGAAAACACTATCTTTTGATCCACAAGAAACTTACAAGACTATAAATAGCACCTTAAAATGCAGAGAAATGCACTTGAAGAGACAATTTAGTCAAATGTGTGTTCAGTCGAAAAACGAAGACATAAATAGACCAAAAATAAGTTCTGAAAGTAAAAACAAAAACTCAAACATTACTTTAAAGGTACAAGGTTTCGAAAGACCGAGATACAGGAAATAAGACACATGTATGAATGTTTTTGAATTATTGTGGAAAAGGTATTTTTATGACTGGTATGAAGTAGTGCTTTGACCTGTTATATTTTTTGTAGACATGGGTGGAATATTAACAAAACGAAAAAGACACCAATAGAAATGGGAGGAAAACTTTTACAATATCCGATCCACCAAAATAATAGTGGAATTGTACCTATTTTTTTATGCAGTAAAAATATTGAATTGTTGTTTCTGTCTTGTTATTTTTACTATAAACTTGGAAAAACTAACATCTTATGTGCATTTTTTGTGAAATCCATTTCTCTAGTTTTCTAGTGTATATATTTTACATTAGTAAGTATATGCTTGTATATACAGGACACCACTTTAAATGTTGGCAGGGAATTTAAGCTAGTTTCAAATTGTAAACAAATTCACCACTCTGCATTTATCAAAATTTTCATTTCCAGAAACTTTAATTCATGTAGTATCCACACTATATCCATCTATCTTTTGCAGTTACTTAGTTAGGTTACCAAAAACTACACCAGAGGGCTACAGAGTATTGGTATATGCGGTGAGGGACAACGATCCCACCAAAATGAACTTCAGCGACTGCATCAAAGGGTTCTGCATGTACAACGACTGTGTACTGTCTGAAGATGGGCTCCAAGAAGGGTAAGATACGTTTTCAGTTACTATCCCATAAGATTCTACGAGTCTATTAATTCAGTAGTAAAAGGTGAAATTATTAGCTGTCGATAACAGGACTGCAAATAATTTAAGCTTTAATTTTTTTTTCTCAGAAGTAATTACATTAAAATTGACAAGGTGCTTTTAATTTTACAGCATAATTGACTTATTTAAGACCCGGTGCACCACGTGCTGACCAAGCATCAATCATTAGAGAAAAATAAAAAATTAATTGATATCAATTTTTCAATTAGCGAACAAATGTAATGTTTCCTTTGCATCATACTTAACGACTATATGCTAGTACGCTAATATCTTAACTAAAAACTTTATGGTAATGAACTCATACTGATGCAGACGTGGTTTTAATATTTATTGAAGCTATTATAGGAAATAATACTAGGGAAGTTGCGGTTCAAGGTCGTATTAATTAATTTAATTAATATGCTTGGGTGTAATGAATCTATAATTATCTTTTTTTGTAATATTTACATATGATTCAGTCAGATGACAGCATTTTTATATTACATTTTTATAATACTGGTAAAGAGATGGCTGGTAAATATTAAAGTGGTCGTATTTTGATATATGAGTATATTTTTAGAGGATGATTTCTAGACTTATTCGGAACTTTTGTGATGAACATACAGTATGAAAAACAGGTTTCACATAATATACAGAGTGTCCCAAAATATGTAGGCATTCTCTCGGATTTATACAGGCGACGTTAAAATAACATGAACTGTTTAATATGATTTTTATTACATAATTTTGTATGTCGGTTCAACTTGAGCTCCTTCTAATATAATGCATTCTCAAGGTTTACGAATTACAGATTGTTGGATCGAGGAGGCCAAGTCATTGATCCTCCTCTTCCTATCCAATGATTCTTGAAATGTCCGTTTAAGTGTTTTCGAACTGCCTGACTAAAATGAGGTGGTGTCCCATCATGCATGAACCACATACCATGTCGTATTGCCAAAGGTAGGTCGTCTAAAAGTTCTGGCAAGTTGTCTTGGAGAAATTCCAAATAAAGTTCCTCATTTAAGCTTCTAGGCAATACAAATTGTCCAATAAAATGTTGCCCGATGATTCCAGCCCATAAGTTAATAGGTTCAAACTGGTACTGATGATGTGTCACAATAGAAGCATGTGGATTTTCTTCTGCCCATAAATGCAAATTATGGGAGTTTATGATTCCGTTTTTACAAAATCCGGCTTCGTCCGTAAAGAGAATTGAACCAATGAAATGTGCATTGTTACAGTACCTATGTAAAAGCCAGTTTGAAAATTACATCCTTCGCGGAAAGTCTACAGAAAGAAGTGCATGGACGTTCTGTATGCGATAGGGGTGCAGTTGTTGCTCTTTGAGGATTCTTATAAGAACCGTAGATTTTTGGGCAATTGTTCAGCCAATTTCCGGACACTTTTTGAAGGATCTGCTTCTAGGGCATTTAGGATATCTTCTTCAGCGACCTCACCGCGATTGATTTGATTTTCACGATTGTGTCTGGCATTGGCAAACGTTCCTAAAATTATTTACAGCATTTTAATTGTACATATTACCTACTCAAAAAGTACGCTAATGCAAGTATCAAATAAATTGTAATTTTTACCAGTCTCTCTTAAACGGTGATCCACTCGTTCAAAAGTTTTCCTGTCAGGAATTTTTCGATTTGGAAATCGTTCCTCATAAAGCCTTTGGGCTTCTAAGGCATTACATGATGCAAGTCCTTACAAGAAAGGTATGTCGGCATATTCAGCAAACGTAAATTCCATTACCGCAAATAAAATAAATCCGAGGAATAAAAAAAGTAAGGAAAATATCACAAGTTTTGACACACTCTATCGTTAACAGACAGACTCAGATAGGTACTGTAATTCTTATAAAAAAAAAAAACAACCATAGCACCTAAAACACAAGGGAAAAACAAGTGTAAATAAAAGTGGCATTTTTTAGATAGGCACAGAAAGAATGCAAAGAGTGACCGCAAAAACGTTTTTTCACAATTCGCAGAGAACTAAAGAAAATAGATAAAAATATGTTTTTGGTCTCAAATTACTCGTCGTACAAAATTAAGATGAGCATAGCTTTTAGCTTTTTGAAAATTTTCAAAAATCACCCCTATTTAGGGTTGAAAAGACTTCCATAATGAAGAATTGAATATTACCAATAAATATAAAAACTACTAGCATGTGAATTTTTCTATCGAATGATTCTTGATTCGAACAATTTATTCTCTTGACTGAAATAAGCATGTTGAATTAGAAAATCCACCCTTATAAGCGCGCTCAGGGGGTGGAATCATCCCCAAAAATAGAGAATATCAGAAATAATTGTAAAAATTCCAAAAAAAGTATCAAGATAATTCAGGGTTAGGAAAATATGGATTAACTATTCACCACCTAAGTGCGTTTAAGTGTGAATTTTCAAATTCAACATGCCTGTTACTGTAATGAAAATAAATCTCTCTTTGTATCAAGAATCATACGATAGAATAATTCACATGCTAATAGGTTTTATATCAATTGGTAATATTCAAATTCTCCATTTTTGGCATTTTTTCAACCCTATACTAAAACCTATGCTCATTTCAGTTTTTTACGACAAGTAATTTGCGACCAAAACATATTTTTATGTATTTTTTTTAATTCTCTGCGAATTATGAAAAAACGTGCGAAAATCACAGGTTTTTTGTGGTCACTCTTTCATCGGTTTATATACTCTTTAGGGATGCAATAAAAATTATATTAAACAAAAATAGTTTTTTTCTCCAAAAACATTTCTTTTTATCGATATCAACCAACCTTTGTGTCTTTAGCGTACAGGGTGTAAAAAAATTGACATTACTGTGCTACAGCTAGCCCGTCCTTGGCAGACCAAATAAGCCAAATTGTTCTCTGCCTCTAGGGAAAATTTTTATAGGAACTTGTCATATGTTATATTAACGTCCCTTGTATAAATCTGAGAGATTGCCCGCATATTCTGGGACACCCTATGTGTTGAAGGAAAAGAATAAAAGCTAAATTTTTCTCTCCCCGTTTGAAGGGTCATAAATCCACAGGTGAAGAGATTTTTTTACATGAAAATAGAAGCAATCAGTTTAATATTCTTGCACTTATTTATTTACCCCTATGTAACTCCAGTTAGTTATGAAATATTATTTCAAACGCGTTGCAAATAACTGATTTTCGTTTGAAGTTTATTTTAATTTTTTTTATTTCAGGTATATCGTCATTTTCGATATGAAAGGCGTTCAGCTTGGCCACTTGGCTAGGGTTAGTCTTCCAGCCCTTCGTTGTTTCATGCTCTATATCCAGGTAATAATATCGATAATGCATAAAAAAGTGATACATTAAAGACCAGTTTTTCCTAATTTACATCCAAATTTTCTATTCCCGTTCCAGGAAGCACATCCATGTAGACTTAAAGGCATCCACATCTTGAACACAGCTTCTTGGATTCATCACGTGATGAGACTTGTGGTACCTCTCGTCAGATCTGAATTGCTCAATCTAGTTCAATTTCACAAAGGTATGAACGAATCTATCATGTATCTGAGCCGCCCGAGTTTGCGGTAAAGTTTTACACCTGCCTTATACCATGTAAACTTTGCAACAAAATTAACGCTCAACTAGAAGTGGACTTTTCTCTTAAACGTCTGATCTGATTTTTGACAATCATTTTTTTTTAGTTATAAGTTTATTTCTCAGTAATAACTCTAAGATCTATTAAAATTTAAGATTGTTTTTCCAAAATTTGAAATATCCTTTAGAGTATCTAGGGTAAAATTTTCTGAACAACTTGTTTTTTAGTTCACAACATGATATCTGTTATTAATCGATGAAATTTAGGCGGACAAGTTTATTGTAAACATTTTCAAAGCCACAAACGTTAGAATAGTAAAAAATAATCCGTGATATTGACAGACAACTTAGACACTACCAACCCCTATCCTATCTCAGTTAGCACTGAAAATGTGCGGAGAGAAATATGGCATGTCATAAATTAAGAAAAGATTACCAGCCTGATTTCGAGTGTATGCCATCAATTAGAAGTTCGTAGAACTGTTCACGGATTTTCTTTTTTCGTATTGATTATGTTGACTTTGGCCCTACGATCTGTATGTACAAAGCATATCCACAAAGTGAGTGCTCAATTTTTAAAAAATCAGAATGTTTTCCACCCGTAAATACCTTCAGAGAAGAGAAAAGATGGAAATCAGAAGATGCTAGGTCAGGGCTGTCAGAGAGGTAGTTAATGATCCCGAATGTATCTAAGATAGTTTTGTGAAAATGCTACTTGCTACCCAATTTTGACAAGTATACCTTTTGTTGTAGTAACTATGCTTTAGAGTTTACAAAACCATTTACAAATGTAACAAATTTTGACTTAACATTTTTTTTTCGATTTTACCATTCCAATTACTTATATAGGCGACACTGCTTTTCAGAAAGAAACCGTTTGCACATTATTATCCTTAACGCACAGTTGATGTTTATTTGAATACAAATTTTGACATGTTTATCTTTAGCCTTTAAACATAATTAAGGAAAACTATTTGGAAAGTAACAACTTCAACACACTATACTCGAAAACAGGGTGTCTAAGAAAAAACGCTACATGAACTACCCCCACTATTTTCCCATGAGGAACTTGCGCACAAGTTTTTTTGAAACATGAACGGGACACCTTGTATGTTCTGATGGCTGGTAAAAATGGAAGTTGTCATATTGTGACAGTAAAGCATGGGATTGATGTAATTTTTTAAATAACGATATCAAGGACCATAAAGAGATCTGTCGTGACCAAAAAAGGACCCCGCAACTATTCTTATGGAAAACCGGTCTCGGTCGAATGGTACGAAACTTTGCCGAATGATAGTCCTCAATGTGTCGATCAAAAAAGTCCATGGGACTTAAGTCTGAAAAACTACTGTTCTGAAGCTATAGCCTTGTGAAGTTATCGAATTTACGTGCTCGATGACGATCAAGTCCAATGATTTACGGGCGAGTAAAAGCAATATTTCTTTATAAAGTGATCAAGCTGGCTGTGTCTTGATGTATTTTCTTGTGCTGAATGCGAATCCGTGGTCAAAATAGCTGTATCATCCTTCAGTCTTCAGAAAATCGGTGAAGCACCTACTGAGAAACAGCGATAGCGGCACGTACTGCTTGAGTGACATCTTATGTTTTTAAGCATGCTGAACACTTATCCGTCATCAGCATATCTGGAGCATTCTTCAGTCTTCAGAATATACCTGAATCACCTTCAGAAAACTTGACTTGATGGTCATCGAGCACGTGGATTCGATAACTTCAAAAGGCTGTAGCTTCAGTACAGTAGTTTTTCAGACCTAGGTCCCATGGATTTTTTTGATCGACACATTGAGGATTATCATTCAACAAAGTTTTGTACCATTCGACTGGGACCAGTTTTCCATAAAAATAGTTGCGGGGTCTTTCGGAAGAAATTTGTGAAATAAAAACGGAAATTAAGGATTGTCAATACTGGAATTTCAATGAGAGTTGCAAAATATTTTTCCATAATCGTCTGAGAGATGCAAACAGCTGTTTTTAATTTTTCCTAAAATTAGTATTTTTCATATAACTACAACTTTATGAAGTTTGAAAAATAGAATGTTAGTGTCAGATTAAAATTTAAATTGGTATACCTGCAAAGATGACTCAATTTTGTCAAAAAATATCTGTTTAAATGTTTGTTGACTATAAAAAAAAAAGTTTTTAGATATCAGGCTGTCGAAAGTTTTCTGTGAGTATAGGAATCATTCCCTAAAAAATGGTATGGTTCCCATGCGTCATTATCAAAGTATCCCCACTTCAAATTTCACTAGTCTAATAGTCATAGCTGGTTCTGGTTAAACTGAAAAATAGGAAGTGATAGAAAAAAACATTGCATAAACTTCTTGATTATACGCAAAAATCTATATAAAAATTAAAAAAATGTATATAGACGTTTTTCAACATCACAATGAACAATAAAAAATGAAAAACACTGTATCTTTTAAACTAATCAGATTATCGAGTTGTGGTTTAATGCAATATGATTTATTGTTGAAAAATGAGCCCAAGACATCTTAACTACTTCTCTGTCTCCTTAGGAAATACGATAAATCTCCCAAGTGTTGAAATTGACCCACCCTCTACAAAAAAATAATATTTCTGACACCTTGTACCTTATTTTAATATACAGCGTGTCCCGCTGTAATGTCTGGAAGAGGGAAAAGTTTTTTATTTGTGAGTTTACGACAAAAAGTCACTCTTTGTAAATACTCCTGCTTGTTCCAAAACGGTCACAACTGTTAAAATATTTGTCATTTTTTATACAGGGTGTTCAGTATTTAGAAAAATATTGTTAGTCACCAAGAGTAAAGTACCGTTATTTTTGACAATATTGAAAAATATCAGGATCACAGGGGATTAAAATTAAAAATTTTTTTTTTAATGCGGCAGCTAATTTATATGTACCACTTTATTTGATATTTGGAAAATTTATGCAATAATCAATTTCTTTAATTTTATTTTTATTGTCAATTTATTGCTAATAATATGAAAATTTATATAAACAAGGAATAATGTAATTTAAATTTACAAAAATAAATTTTAATCAAATTTATTGCCTCCAATTTCTGCACAAATTTCAGCTCTTCTAATAAGTTCTCCACAGACATTTTGTATTTCGTATAGAGGAATATTAACAATTGTTTCTCTTATTCTGTTTTTTAAAGTGTCCACATTATTACCAAGCGGTTCAGCATAAACATTTTGTTTTAGATTGCCTCACAAATAAAAGTCCATTATTGTCAGATAAGGACTTCTAGGAGGCCATGGAACAGGACTTAATCGTCTTATCCATCGATCTTTAAAATGTTGGTCCAACTATTCTCTAACCATAATTGTAGAATGAAATAAATGACCATCTTGTTGAAAATAAGCCCTCTCTTGGTGTGCTAATGGCATATTGTTTAGGTAGTTTAAGAAAAACGTACTTAGTACTTAGTAAACGTACTTAGTGCAAATAAGAATGCTGGTTCAACTTTCGCTCTATAAAATAGGGTCCAACTATTCCAAAATAAGAAACGACACATCAACCGATAACTTTTTTTTAATACTGTCTTCTACAATTAATCCGAAAATTAGGATTTCGAGATGGTGCTCACCCACCCATAAACAAAATTCCAACCTTTTAGAATCATCCCCTTCTTCTAAGTATTTTATTTTTTTTTAACAATCTTTGTAAACGAGACTTACTAACGTTTCCAATTTCTGAAGCTCTTTTTCTTAGAGATGTCTTTGGGGCATTTCTTATTGATTGCATCACTAATTCTACAACATTTTCTTTTCTTTTTTAATACAGAACCAGTGTTTTTATTTTGTTCGAGAGTGAGCACTGTAATCTCAAATAAAATATTACCTAATTAATCACGAAGTGACTTTGACAGAAGATAGTAAAGATTATTTATTTGGTTGTTATAACCACAGCATCCGTCATTTTAAACTCCTCTATTATAGCACGCACAATCATCAGGTACCCGCCTCGTTTAAAAAAAAATTCAACAGAAATTAGTGAAACCTCAAATTTTTAATCCCCTGTGGATCCTAAATGACATCCCTGATAATATTGTTCGATATTGTCAAAAATAGCGGTACTTACTCTTGGCGACTAACAATATTTTTCTAAATACTGAACACCCTGTAAAAAAAATGACAAATATTCTAACAGTATTGACTGTTTTGGAACAAGCAGTAGTTTTTACAAAGAGTGACTTTTTGTCGTAAACCCACAAATAAAAACCATTTCCCTCTTCCGGATATTACAGTGGGACACGCTGTATGTGAACTCACTACCAACCGACAAACAGTTAATGTGGATGTCTATCTACCCTCATGTTTCCTGTGTGGATGAGATATAACCTATAAAGTATATCTCTTATCTTACATGTGCCTACTGGCACAAAGCAATGGAACGACTTACCTGTAGGTACTATCAAAGGATGGTCAGGATCGCATTAGGCGATTTTAACTAATGGAATTGTGAGAAACAACTATCGATTCTCCACGCCGTCGTCTGTTAAATTGCACGTGCTGTTAAAAAGCCAACGTGATCTAATTGTGTCCTGACAAATTATCTTAGCTATTTACTAGATATTGAGGATGTAATTCAATGCTATAAGGTTCATGAAGCTCTCAGAGTAATTGTTTCCCACCATATCATTAGCTAAAAATTTATTTCACCTTGTAATTTTTTCATATATCTATAAACCGTCATTTTGTGCCGGTAAGCACAAAGCAATGTTTTATAGGTTATATCTCACCCACACCTTGTATGTTGATTAGTACTTTTCCTAAATTTCCTAAACAATTATCTTTATTGTTAATTCGAAACGTTTTTTTTTTCCTCTAGGCAACGTTCCAGAAGGATTCCCATTGGATCTTCTCCCCAACGAATATGGAGGCGAAGCGCCGACAATGGAAGACCTAGACAATGAAACGAAGTCCATGGTCCACAAGTACCAGGAGTGGCTGATTGAGACGGGCGAATGGAAAAGTGACGAGTCGAAGAGAGTGAAGAAGGCGTCTTGGTGGGGTCTCTTCAACGGGAGCAATAAGACGAGCAACGTGGAACTAGACGAGAAAACGATACTGAAGAATCTACAAATCGATTAGGTTATTTGAATTTTCGTCTTAGTTCATTTTGTAATCTCCCTAATTAGGTACTAAGTAACTAACTTTGGTTTCCGTTGTGAGGGTGCTGTACCTATTTGTACATTTTTTACTATGTAAAAATAACTGTGCTCAAATATTTAATGTTATTTAGTTGTATTCTTTTTTATGTCCTATTTAATCTCGCGTTAAATAAGGGGATAGGGATATTATATTTGTAGGTAGTAGTTTCTGTTGGAACAATATTTTTGTAAAATGAAATAAAAAAAATAAATATTTTTATTCTGTTCGATGTCTCTTATTTCCTAGAACCCTCCTACTGTCCAAGTTAATTTTTAACAATAATTTGCTACTACTAGGAGATATTTGGATTAATTGTAGCTATATTAAAAAAAAGATATATTAGAAGTGTATCCACCGCCTAAACCTCTTATACTTCATAGTCTCCCGATACCAAAAATTTAATTTTTAACAGAAACTTTAGTAAGTCAGAAAGTTAGAGAGATGTTACCAGAAAGGAAATACCTCTTACACTTTATAGTCTCCCGATACCAAAATTTATTTTTTAACAGAAATTTTAGTAACTAATGCTGTTTAACTTTTGTGGATTTTGTATCAGGATTGCAGAAAGTTGAAGAGATATTTGAAAAAAGATAGAAGTATATCTATCCTTGTCGCCTATACCCCTTACACTTCATTGTCTCCCGATACCAAAATTTATATTTTAACAGAAAATTTAGTAACTTGCTGTTTAACTTTTGTGGATTTTGTATCAGGATCGCAGAAAGTTGAAGAGATATTTGAAAAAAGATAGAAGTATATCTATCCTTGTCGCCTATACCTCTTACACTTCATTGTCTCGCGATACCAAATTTAACTTTTAACACAAGTTTTAGTAACTATTTAAATTAAAGATATTAAAGTAAATATTTTGTATCAGGATCGCAGAAAGTTAGAGATCTTACCAGTAAGGAAATATCCCTTTCACTTCATAGTCTCCTGATACCAAAATATAATTTTTGATAGAAATTTTAGTAACAATGCTGTTTAACTTTTGTGGATTTTGTATCAGGATCGCAGAAAGTTAGAGAGATATTACCAGAAAGGAAATACCTCTTTCACGTCATAGTCTCCTGATACCAAAATTTAATTTTTAACACAAGTTTTAGTAACTAATGCTATTCAACCTTAGTGGATTTTGTATCAGGATCGCAGAAAGTTAGAGATTTTACCAGAAAGGAAATACCTCTTTGACTTCATAGTCTCCTGATACCAATATATAATTTTTGATAGAAATTTTAGTAACAATGCTGTTTAACTTTTGTGGATTTTGTATCAGGATGGCAGCAAGTTAGAGAGATATTACCAGAAAGGAAACACCTCTTACACTTCATAGTCTCCCGATACCAAAATTTAATTTTTAAGACATTTTAGTAACTGAATCAGTTTAACTTTAGTGGAAAGGAAGTTGTTAATTGAGAAGACTATAAATTTTGTAAATGATTTTATTTATTATCATTTTTGTTTGGTACAGTGTATTATACATATATAGTAGATAACAAGCCGCAAAAATGTTTCAAACATGTGGCCATTTTTTGATATGTGACCATTTTCACAACCATCCAGATCACTAGATATATTTTCACACTTCATTCACACAAAATATTTCATATTTTATTTCTCGCAAATAGAACAAATTTATTATTAAAGTGATGTATAAATTCATTATTCTCACATGGTTCAGACTTAACTTTTTATTTTTATTTTCGATAATTCATCCTCGTCTGAAATTCTTATCACCTTGGTTATCCTGGTTTAGCTTTCATGTTTCACTCTGCATATTTACATAAATGAATACAAAATAATAGACAACAAAAACTTTATGATAGAAAATTACCCGACCATCGAATTTACGCATGAACTGAATTTTGTAGAGAAAAGTTTATCATTCCACCCATAAGCTTCCTAGTAGAAGAAATAAAATAGAAATATTTTTCACAAAATCTCAAGTAAGCTGCGAAAATCTTGTATATACAAGGAAGTCTGATAGACAATAGATTTTACAATAAACTTTGCGTAAAACAAAACGGAATCTAGACAGTACGAAACATTTCACACCATGGAAAATGTTTGCTAAGAATTTATTTTAAGCAAAGTTTCTTATATTTACAAAAGTCTATAGGATAGTATCTGGGTATAACATCAATATTTATAATAATTATTATATCTTACAGTTTAGATTATTTTTGTACAAAAAACACAAAAGTGCCAATAATACTAGACGTTTCCATATTCTTGATGAAGCAAAATATTCTTTCATAGATTGACAAAAATGAAAGAATTATAAATTTCCGTTTCCGTTTCATCAAAAACCGAAAAGTCGTCTAGTTGTGCGTAATGAGGAGAAGGCACAACATATTCACATGATTTGTTAAAAAATGTCAGGTCGCTTTGTCAAAGAATGAAAAATCAAATTATAAGTCCTAGGTCCTCTAGGGTGACAATATCAAAAAGATTCCCCATTGTTTTTGGTCGAAATATACTTTTAACTTATAAGTTTACTTCAGGAAAACATAATTACGAGTTCAGTGGCTCATATTTAGATAAAAAAAACACCTGACATTAAGTAACAACTCACAAACAACAGCTAGCTTTTTTAAAAATATTACAGTTGTGCCAATTATACAGCTGTTTTTGAAACCTACAGTAAATATACAAAAGTCTTGTAACAACAAGGTGTTCAGCACAGAGACATACTCGCAACGAAATTCCCTTAAGTACTTCTATGTGCTAACCACCTACTGGTAACAATTAGTTCCTAATAACACATCAGATTAAGTAGTTGATTTCAAAAAGTACCAAAAAGCAACGGTAAAGCTAATCAACGGTCTATCCTCAAGATCTTACAAGTGTGTCAAAGACATCATCTGTAAAATTAATAAAAATTGGATACATTTATTCAAAGTAACACCAAATAGAACAAGGTAATATTTTTTGTGGACTTTCCTTCAAATGCCTCTACAAAATAAGAAGTGTGTAAACTAAATTCAAAAAATAAGTTTTACAATTAACTTACTGCTTTTGATTCAATTCTTTGTATTCTTTTACAGTCCTGTGTTTCGATATCATTATTTAACTTACAAGTAAATAGAATAAAGCAAAAGAGACTAATTGTATAGTTTCATTTTACAATTTTGTAGGTTAGGTTAAAAGACATCACCTCTACGAGTTGTAACTAGAGATGTGCTAGTAAAGTAAATTCAAACTGCGCTTTTTGCGGAGCTGTCACACCTGCGACTAGAGATGTGTTGCGATTTCACTGTCTGCTACTTTGGCGCAGTTCCGTAGTTGTCACTGGAGCCNTGTCGATCTTGAGCTTGACCGATAATTCGATTACATATTTGTTTACTGAAACGACTAAAATTGAAATTAGTTCTTCCACTGCAGTCAAGGGTTATGTACTTAGTTCTTTCACTGAAATTTGTTGTCATACAAAAATGCGAATGAATGCGACGATAAAGCATATATTCTCTTCAAACGTTTACAAATACAAACGCAAACCGTTTGCTACCGTTTTTCCCTGTAGATTGTGGCCATTGTTGCCCACACTCTTTACTCCCTATCAGTATCAAACGACTTGCAAATCACTAAATATCAGTGATCACAGGCACAGCTACACGCCGATCCAAATCGCAAAACGAATCTGACTCACATCTGACTCTCGGCCCTGGTGGTTCAGCTGTACACTAAACGGATTCGACACTCCCCACGGCAGTCGGTGAATCATCGGAGTCGACTATTACATATTTTGGGAGTCGACTCAGATGATCTAAGCCAAGAGTCGACTCTCTGATTCGAAACATACACTCACTAGCCAACACTAGTGCATACTGCAAATAGTCACTGATTGCGTAACCTTTTTTTTAGAATAAAACGAAAAAGTGGTTAGGTTTTGAAGTGCGTGAGCTTTTTTTTTAGCTACGCTTATAAGTAATATATGACTAATACAAACATATTTGTGCACCGCTGGGATGAAAACGACCAATATCTCGTATCTCGAGTGATCACTCGATTATTAGAAGTACTCGATTACCGGTAACTCGATTACCAAAATTGGTCGATTATGCCCATCACTAGTTAAAAGACATCACCTCTACGAGTTGTAACTAGAGATGTGCTAGTAAACTCAAACTGCGCTTTTTGCGGAGCTGTCACACCTGCGACTAGAGATGTGTTGCGATTTCACTGTCTGCTACTTTGGCGCAGTTCCGTAGTTGTCACTGGAGCCGAGAATTCCGCCGCGACCATATAGTTTATATAAACAATGGCCGCGACAAAAGAACGGGTGATTTTTCAAAGCGTTTGCTGCAAATTATCTGCGACTCCTTCGGCAACTAAGTAGTGATAATAAGTTGCGATTATTCGGAATTCTTTTGTCACGGTTGAACTGTTAGCTCCAGTAACAACCACGGAACAGGGCCAAAGTAGCAGACATGGAAATCGCAACACATCTCTATGTTGCAAAACTAAAATGGTGGGAGAGGAAGAAGAAATGTAGGGTAAAAGATGCCAGAAGAAGAGGAAGAAAGTGTGACAGTTTAATTTGTTGTATTTAAGGTTATGTTTTGAAAACCGGTGGTAATGAGATGGAATTTGATTGTAAATTTTGTTAAATCATGAAGAATGTGTCACGTACTAGATTTTGATTATGAGTGAAAGTTTATTTCCCAAATCTACTTGTGTGTGTGTGTGTGTGCACGCCTAAGGATAGACCGTTGTCGAAAGGACGAAAAGTAACGAACAATATCAAATCGATTTAAATAGTTATTTATGTTGGTCAATATGATTTTGTACTTAGTACTTAGATGTGATTATTTATAATTTTATACATGATAGATAATACTGTTGAGTAAAATTGCAGCTCCACATTGATTATTTAATAGATATGGTTAACAGTAACGCGAATCACCACAGAAGCCACTTTATTTGAACACTTTAACCGATATATAATTGTTTCTTATAGAAAAAAATACAGGAATTTAACTCTTTACTGTAACGAGTAACGGTTCACGTTCAGTCGTAACATTTTAACAATTCTCTAACTTTAACCCGTAACTTGATCAGTCCGCCCATTCTTAGTTCGATCGTCTATTTAGTCGTTCGCTGTCGCCACAGAAACTCCACGTTTTGGAATAACCACCGATTTATCCAGAGCTAATAAGATTATTTACTATAAATAAAACGACTATATCTTTCAAAGAATCGCAAATTTTTAAATTAATTTTTTTAAAAGTTAAACTTCGTTTTTGAAAAAATGCAAAATACTACTCTCACGATTGCCTGTAGTCTTTAGGGAAGCCATATTTTCCCAAATTCAAAAATGAAATTTATGAATATTCTATTTTGTTGCAGCATTTATGCACGACTTAGGTTGATTCGTGAATTTTGATTTTAAACAAATCAATTTTTGGCCAAGATATATTTACGGCTGTTTAAAACGAAATACAGTATTACGTCTCGATTTTCAAAGGCACATTTTTCGATATCCTTTCAATAATCCTTATAAATACAAAGCGGAAACAATAACTTTAATTACCTTCTTCCGTTTTTTATTTAAATAAGTGGTTATTCCAATAGTTCGAACGATGAAAATAGCTTTAAAAAAATATTTGACAAAATTGTATTTTTAAGAAAGATCTATTTGTGGAATATATCGAAAAGAATTGGCCTTGCCAGCAGGTACCGTATTCTCTAAATCAGGAAAAAAATTACAAGGTTTTTACTACGTTTTTTCCATGGATTTAGTCGTAGGACCAAATACAACATGTGATGACTGTTTATAATGGTTGGGGACCTGAAATTGGTAACGGAAGCCAAGGTCGATATTAATCAGGTTTGCTCGTATCATTTATCTGCTTGTATTTATGAAATTTGCACAGCACCATTGAAGCCATTTTAGAATATGGCACCTGCTGGACATATACTGTGTTTTATTTATAACCATATAGGGTGGGTCAAATTCGACATTTTTTGGAGATTTTCCTACTTGCCGTAGAGACAGAAAAAAAGTAGTTTAGATGTCATGATCTCGATTTTGTACAAAAGTCGAATGACAAAAAATTCATGCGATTTCTTGATTTATTTTTCCATCTGTCTCTTGAAATGTGAAGAAGCCTAACTTTTTTTTGTTTCAATTACTTTAACTTTAATTTTATGAGAATCAACTACTCTGCGGGCTACATGCCCCGTCCAGCATTAATAACACTTTCAATATCTATCACACAGCTAAGAATGTCAGTGCTAGACAGGGCATATAGCTCGTAGAGTACTTGTTCCCCACAATATCATTAGTTAAAAGCTTATTTCGCCTAGTGTGATATAATTCCATAGTACCCACATATTAGTAGGTCGCTCTTTGCCAGTAGGTACAAAGTAATGTTTTGTGCCAGTAGGCTTTTAGTAGCAGTGACAAGTAAGATATGACATATAATTTCTAGGTTATATCTCACCCATACTTCAAATAGATTATTTTGGTTTAATTTTCCCGCATTAATGTCAAAAAAGGGGCAATTATGCATTTTCACACGAACAACTTAAACTTTTCTTGCGCAAAATACCTTTTATAATTATATTATAAAAATTGTGAGTAGGTTAAAAGGTGTGGAATATCGTGTTATTTGTAGTGCTGGCAACTGAAATCGGTTTTTTGGATAGTCGGTTAATCGGTTTCAGATAATTCGGATTTTTATGAAATCCGAAAACTGGTTATTCGATTCTTCAAATATCTGAAAACCGGTTATTTGGTTATTCGAATCTTCAAATATCCAATTATTCAAATAACCGATTATTCGATGATCTACTTTTTTTTTTTAGATATCAATTTGTCTGATTGCAATTGATTGATTTTTTTAGACAATTTCTCCGGGTCTGTCTTTGTAAAGCACCGAGTTTCAGATATCCGGTTATGGCGATTCAAGTAACGGGTTATTTGAATAACCGGTTTTAGCAACTATTCGACTAACCGGTTTTTACGGAACCCGGTTAACCGGTTTCACTTTTTCCGGTTTTTGCCAGCACTAGTTATTTGATTTCGAATAAAAGAATTGCAAAATATTTCACAAATTGGCACCTAATAAATCATATCAGCTTAGTGTGTGCAACTTTGAGGGTGCCTATTTAATAACAAACACCGTGTACTTATCTTCATGTTAAATCATTTAAATTTACACCTGAATCAAGAGATTTTAAATTCACATTTGGAAACGTCGCGTAAAATTTCAAAATTTTGATAACAAACCTGGTTAATATTAACATTGAATTGCGGCAAGATTAATTAAAATTTAATAATTTTTTTTGTTCGGTTTCGGTTATTATTTAAGTTAAGCTTTATTTTGGAATATTTAGAGGGAAAATGTAGAAAGAAGTTTTGGCAAAATACTTTTTAACTTACGTAGACGTATTGAGTAATTATCTGAAAGACTAGATTTCTACAAGCATTAATTGATAATAGGCACTTAGATATTGAAACGATTTCTAGAAATCTGTAAACTCGCTATATTATCATGGAAACTACAAACAGAATTATTCTGGGAGAAGATGAACGCTGTACAATTTTCCAAAAAACCTTAATATTTTTAAGTAGCCGAAATGCGGTTCTGAAAGCAAGACCTTTTTTTTTACTTAAAAAGTACATTATTGTTCTTGAATCGTAGCTTAAGTTATGTACACTTAACCCTAATGGTCTCGTTCTCCTTCGCAAAATTACAACCTTGCCAAATATTTACAACAGACACCCGAAGCGCTCTCAACATGCCCGACGTTGGTTAAATCGTCTCGGTCCCCGGACAAATGAGATGGAAGAAGCTAGTTCCAAAAACAGCGTTATCATCAAAACTTAACAATAAGGGAACAAAAGTGGTTATTTCCCACCCAGCCCGAATTTCATAAAAATCAGTTCCTTGCCTTTGGACAAGATGTCGCCGCCGGGCGCAGTGATCTCGTTCAGCTTCTGCATCAGATTGGGGGCCCCCGCGTTGTTCGCCTGCTGCTGCGGGCTGTTCTGCATGGGACCCCCGCCCCCCACCATAACGTTCGGTATCACCTGTGGCACCCCCTTCTGCTGCATCCTGCTCTGGTTGGTCGCGTACGGTTGGTTTTGGCCCGAGAAAGGTTGTTGCTGCTGCTGCTGCTGTTGGTGTTGCTGGGGCTGCTGCTGGCCGGTCAGGCTGCCGAACAGGCCCCCTCCTCCCGTCGTGGTGTTACTCTGGGGTTGGGGCATGGCGTTCTGCTGCTGCCCGAACTGCTGCTGCTGCTGTTGCTGCTGCTGCTGTTGTTGCTGCTGCTGGGGTTGGTTACCACCTTGCCTCAGCATGCCTCTCGCTCTCCCCTACAAATAAATCGGTTTGGAGTTCGGAAGCTATTTCGTTCCCGTACAGATTTTGTCTGAATTTCAACATAACGCCACAGCGGTAGCTTAACTCTGATGGCGAGTAGCAATCAGAATGTATCGACTTGTTCGATTCATTTACAAAAAGCTTTAAAAACTAGTTTTTTTTCTAAACTAAGCCATAAAAAGTTAAACACATGGTGTTCCAATATCCCATGTATATGAAACTACTCTTATTCTTCAAAATGACTCGATTTAACAAAAATTGTCTTCATCCAAGGTTGCTTACTTTTAGCCGCTACATAATGTCAAAATTGGTATTAAATTTTGGTTTTTCTAGTGATCGTTAAATCATCAACCATTTAAAAACTGGTATCTTGCCCGAGAATGAGATTGGTTGCATTTGGACATATTTAAAATTAAAAAATTATGTTTCTCTAAATCGTTTTTTTTTCTTGTAATGCTTATTATACATTTCTAAACCATATTTTTACTTTATAACACAACAACTGCCTTGTTCCTACATACTGAATTTTACAAAATTGCTTTAAACATACCATACCTTTCGATGTTCCCTTTATTTGAAACATTTTAAGGAAGAAAATTGATTATTGACAGCTATAAATATCGATTTTAATGGAATGAGTGAAATATAGGGAAATATTGTATTCAACATATTCTATGGTCATTTTCGAATGTGACCAGTGAAGCATAGTCACGGATTTTGGTCATTTTTGGTAAACGACTACTATTATTAGTTTTTTCAAATAACTCTAAAAAAGTCATCTAGTTGTGTGTAATGTTTTTAAACCAACTATGAAACTAACGGGGTGTTAGAGAACGAAACTGCAACGGAAAATAATTCTGCAAAAACAGATTGCTTTTGTATGACTGCAACATATTTTAAATTTACCATATTTTTTGGATGTCAATAAAGATAAAGCGTTAAACACTATAAAATACTAATCCGGTAGATTTAAAATATTTTTGTAAATAATTTCATGTTTCTAATGAAAAGTATATGTTAATATTTTTTAAAGCACCTAGTTTATTTTGTGAATCCCAGTGTCAATGACCTCCTTGGCCTAGTTTAGGTGAACTATATCAATCCTCCTGATATGACGTGACAATAGGACGCAAAGTGGGCAAAAACAAACGGCCAACTTTAATTTGGCGAAAACTAGAATAGTCGAATGCGTTTATCTTATAGTAAATTTCAAAGTGAAGTGTATACAGGGTGTTTCGCATAAGAACCGACACAGAGTGGGGCATGTAGGGGAACCCAAAATATTGTGATTTAATGCAACTTACCTTTATACAAAGCTGTACCACTGAGAAGTTATAGGCTTTGAAATTGGGGTTTAAAATTTCGAAAATATATAGTTGAACTACTTTAAAGGGTTGATAAGGGATGATGCACCATGTAACAAAATTTTCTAACCTGTTGGTGGACTTGTTACTTTATTTTATGGGGAATTTAATTCTAAAACTTTTGTTATTTTTTTTTATTTTCAAAAAACTTTGTCGTTTTCAACAAAAATGAGAATAACTAATAATACGTATTGCAGCTGTTATTTAAAATCATCGAAAATTCAAAAGTTGGCTATGAATTTAAACGTCAAACTTGACGATCAGGAAAAAAATCATTTAATTTTAGTAATTGTTTGCCGAGTGTTTCGGAAATAGCCGGAAAGTTTTCATTTAGCGAACAAGTTAATACGCTATAACTTATCAGTGCAAATTGTATGTTATTTCTGTTCAAGTTGCTTGTTTTTGTATTAAATTATTCTTATTCCAACTTTTTTCCTGATCGTCAAGTTTGACGTTTAAATTAGTAGCAAATTTTTGAATTTTTTTGATTTTCGTAATAATTTTTTATGTTCACCAACAAGTTACATTTTAATAGTGCATATCCCTTATCAACCCTTTAAAATGCTTCAATTGAACTCTACCTCGGTTTTTATGTGAAACATCCTGTATATTTATTTCGTTGTTTAGTAAAGATTCGGTGTGCTGGCGTGTTTTTATTGCTAAATTTCAAAATAAAAAAATGTGAGATTTGACGGAAGTGCACGCCATGGCTTCCGACTGGGTTCACACTCGCTTTTGTTTGAAGTTACACCAATTTGTCCAGCAGCGAGGTATGAAAATTATGAAAAAAAACCAGTTTTCACGACGGAATTTGAGTAAACAATCTTGCGATATGTGTTTCTAAAGGTCAAAGGTAGCCCTCGTATAGATATATGAAGTTACATCCTGTATTTGTAACTTTTAATCTTTTTCCAAACACCATAACTACGTGTTCACTGGTTCACATTTAGATACGAACACCTGACATTAAGTAACAACTCACAAGCAACAACTAATTTTCTTAAAAATGTGTTTTGAGTCAATTCAGTTTTACTGACATCAGTAAAAAATTAAACAAAAATTTAATACAGTGATAACTTTTCAGGGAGCAAATGTAACTGTAGCGACTAAACGAAGCAACTTTCGATAATGTAAGGGTAGTTAACGTCAAATCATCTTATTTTGACCCGATGAATCTGTAGTAGTCCCATGTACATGAAATAGGTATTGGGGGCACCTTGTAAGCTTTTCAGTAAGTACCTTCGACAAAAAAATAACTGTAGCAGGTCTGTTTCTAAGGCCACAAACATAGACCAAGCCATTTAACATGCAGTAAATCAGTGTTCTTCAAAAGCTTTAAAATTTTTTATGGGTATTTATTTTAACGGGAAAAAAATCAGTCATGTAATTTTTAAAAATGGCGTAGTGTAAAAACAAATCATAAACTTCTGAAAGCTGTTTCTACGATTATTAAATTTTAACAAATATGGACAAAAAAGGTTGAAAATACACATCACAACGTACGCCATCTGTCAATGATAACAGTAATTCTAACTGCAGTGGAATTACTATAACATTTACACAAACAATGAATAAGTATTACTGCTTTATAACAGGCCTCTAATGATGGAGTTATTATGTGAAATTACTTCCTGGTTAATCAGTGATTACTAAGCTAATTAATATAACAGGCTTATAATACTTGTATTAACCTTGAAAAGTGTTCGGTCTAAAAATAATATAAAGCAATTATATAGGAGTAACAGTTCAATACTTATAAGTACTTATGTAAATAAGATCAATTTTCGGTTGGCTATTAAAATTAAATAGACATCTAAATCCTGTTAAAATTCAGAAAATAAGATAGACACAAAAAATGTTTGCGTAAAGTGTTTCAATAATTTTTGTCTAGACAAAACAAGGTCGTTTCGGTGTTTCTAGGTAGATTTCTTACTGCATAATAGAAGACCTCTGCTTTTTAAAGTCCCATAATTGTGACAAGGTGTTCCGAAATTCTATAAATACCTTTGTCGATGGCGTAACATTTGTTTCTATTTTTAATTAAAGTAAAATTGTATTTTTAGCGGTTGAATAAAATGGTCAGATATTTCAGAAGCAATTCCAAAACATGGGGAGCCCTTTTCTGTTCGAAAATACATACATTCTATTAGCTCTCACATGTTTTTACTCATTTTTTAGCTAATTCAAACAAATAAAAAAAAATTATCAAGTGAAGTCAAACAATGTTATTCGATATTCACTTCACAGATAAAATTGCTCATTGCTGATACCAAGGGAAGCAACCACTCTATGGGCTACATAATATTGTATTACACCACGCCGATACTCATTAAACACTTAGCAACAAATAATTATTCAAAATAAATTGAAATGTTTAAATAATAATTAATAGAAAAACATACCTGATATGTTTACATTCTCAAATAACGCAATCATTCAGAGAAACAATCACAAGTAAAATGTAGAAACAAAAGATCTCTTTGTAGCAGCCGTTGATCAACTTTGTCAAGTGAAACAATATAGGATGTTTCTATGAATAATTGCATTACTTGAGAATCTAAACAACATGTGTTTTTCTATTAATTATTTAAATATTTCAATTTTATTTTGAATAATAACTGTTTAATGAGTATTAGCGTGGTGTAATATAACATCATGTAGCGCATGGGGTAGTTGTTTCCTGCAGTGTCAGTAGTTAGCAATCTTTTCTGTGTTGTACAATACCTTTTGCATATGTAGATGTCGTCAAATAACATTGACTGCATTTGACAAGATTACCTTGAATTTGTTTGAATTAGCTTAATATACCCTTTTCTGTATTTGGGAAGATTTTAAAAGTCTTGAAAATTAAGATCATCCTCGGGTACATTCAGGTGAGTTAATTTCAACAGATATAAAATAAAACTGGACATTTATAGAAGATTAAATACGTGCTTTAGAACAAAACATGAAAAATTGAAAAAAAAATAGAAATAATGCCTGGACTGTAAAATATGCATAAAGAATATAAAAAGTAATATTAGTCGGGAAAAGATCAATCAGAAACCAAATTTAAATTTTGGGAGTATGTATTTGGAAAAACAAGTATTTTCAGGTTTTACTTCTGAAATTTAATAATTTATCCACCGTGTAAATGACTTTTTTGATATTTTTGATATCTCTAATTTAACAAAATTTTGAAGTCCATCGATTGTTTGGATGATTTTGAAAATGTTTTAGATAAAGATTTTAAAAATAAATTAAAAAATAGAACTCTTACTAATTTGAGGTAAAGAACTGGATGTAATTAATGAACTATATTCGTTTGAAATCAACAGGGTGCTTATCATAAATATTTCCAAAAGATTATGAAATATATATTTACTTGTAACATTATTTAAGAATGTAATTTGGCTTTCATTATTTTTAATTTTTCTTGAGATAAAAGTAAAAACAAAAATTTCACCATGAACGTTGGGTTTGATGCCTAAAATATATTTTAATAAGCTCCCCACTCCCGAGCCAGGCTTCACGACTAAGTGGGAGAAGGGGCGGCACGCTATACTTATTAAATGTAATCTATAAACTTCTAATCTAACTGACGGCGTCTAATCTAAAAAAAAATCTATTCGACGGCAGACGGCGCCTATCACAAAAAGTCATGGTTTCGCTTTCTGTGTCCCACATCCAGATCATGCATAAGAAATCCCGCCACATCCCCACCCGCACATAAACAATCGACTAACTCCACATTACAACAAACAAAACAGTAAAACACTGATTTACACCGATATAAAAACCATGCAAGGCACATAGGCGTACGCCAAGGGGGAAGGGGGCACACGCAAGAGAGAAAGAGAGAGTAGGAAATCGAGTAAGTAATAGTATACAGGGCGTTTAAATACCTGCTGGTGCTCGGTGATAGTGTTCGGTGTCGTAGACGTGTTGAGCGAGTCTAACTGAGAGGTATACACAGGTAGGCAGGCATCTAGACCAAACAGACAGACAAACAACATACAATCAGCGCTGCCTTTCTAAACACAGGACGACTCGTTATCCGTAGAAAATGCCCCTTCGACATGTCGGCCTTACCTCTAATCGCCGCGGCCGGAACTGGTTCCCAGTAAATTTTTCGTTTCCTTTTTTTTTCATATAACTTTTTGCGAAGAATATTTAACACGGTCTTTTTTGGGTTTCGTTCGCGCGTGACGTAGTTGAGTCGAGGTGTAAGAGCAATTTCTAAATCATCCAACAGATGTCAGTCTTTCTTACTTGTATTTACAGTGGCTACCAACCATGGTGTCAATACAGTTCGGTCGACGTCATTAAAGAGATGCAGACCCCGATTTTGGCACGAACATTAGCTTTATACTATACAGGGTGTCTGCGGAAGGTTGNCAGCGCTGCCTTTCTAAACACAGGACGACTCGTTATCCGTAGAAAATGCCCCTTCGACATGTCGGCCTTACCTCTAATCGCCGCGGCCGGAACTGGTTCCCAGTAAATTTTTCGTTTCCTTTTTTTTCATATAACTTTTTGCGAAGAATATTTAACACGGACTTTTTTGGGTTTCGTTCGCGCGTGACGTAGTTGAGTCGAGGTGTAAGAGCAATTTCTAAATCATCCAACAGATGTCAGTCTTTCTTACTCGTATTTACAGTGGCTACCAACCATGGTGTCAATATAGTTCGGTCGACGTCATTAACGAGATGCAGACCCCAATTTTGGTACGAACACTAGCTTTATATTATACAGGGTGTCTGCGGAAGGTTGGGAAATCTCGAAGCTGAAGATCTTAATGGTGAACTAAGTCGATTGATCCAAACATGCCTAATCCAAATATTGCTGGTTTCAAAGAATCAAAGATAATGGGAGTTCAATGTTAGAATTTTGTTTCGACATTTCTCAATTATTTTGAAAACTGTCAGAGTATGACCAAAAAAATTGGCATTTTTTTGACATGAAAAATAATTATTTTTAACAAATTTTGGAGTTGCTTGTATATGGCGTCAGTTATGCCCTATTCCTTTAATAAATAGGTGAAACATTTTTTTGCTTTTAGAATTACTGACATTGTGTATTGAATATATGACAGAACATCACTGGTAGCACAATCGTGTGCAATTCTAATACAAGTTGTTTCAAGTTTACTTGAAATAACCAAATTGTGTCAGATTGTTTTGTGTCTATTGCTGAAATTTATGTCGTTTCTTATGGAAGATACTTTCACAATACTTGCACCAGACTTAACCAAAAGTACTTGAGTCCAAAGGGGTGAATTAGTATAAGTCAAGTACCTACTTAATTCTAATGTAAGTCTGCAACATAGTCACTTGCTTTAATTTACCCCATTGTGCTCAAGTGCCCTGAATCAAATCCATTGAAAGCTTTGATCAAGACAATTGCACAATGAATCTTGCAGTAAACCTGATGCTAGTAGGTACCAACAGTCTTGTATAAGTGTCTTGTGCAAGATTTTGCTACCAGTTTTTCTTAAAAGACTTACTCTTGTTCGTTTTAGATATTTTCCTTGGTATTCCAAATTATTCAGAAATTTCAAAATAAAATTCAAACATTGAAGGCCCCGTATCTTTGAAACCAGCAATATTTTCATAAGGCATATTTGGCTCAATAGACTTATTTTGGCCACCAGAATCTCCAGCTTCGAGATTTCCCAATATTTCGCAGACATCCTGTATATAAACAAACAATTTAAGTTGATTATGATACATTAAAACGTTGCACGTTCCACATTCACATATGCTACGAGCCGTACGAAAAAGTAAATCAAAATTATGTAGAATCTAAAAGTAAACATAATCTCAAATACTGTGTCAAGCTTGAAAAAGCGTTGTCTGTTTTACGCAATAAAATGAAGTGTTTAGACTATAACAACTCTGGAAATGTGGAAATATTAAGATTATGATTGATTATCTCTAATTATTAGTAAAATGACGGAAAGTTTTTGCATTTCCCTGGCAATATATGCTTTGATTTTGCCAGTCTCGTTCTTTAGTGGCGTCACCATATGCGCACGCTATACCATATTCACACCACGATCAGTTATATAAGACAGTGGCGACAATAGACCTGCTAGCCAGGGTAGTAGGAGGCCCACGAACTGCTCGAACCCGGCCCCGTGTGGTGCAAGGGTCTGTCTCTACGTCTGGGCCTACAGAGATGGCGTGGTTAAAGAGCGATAGTCCCGCTCGGATTTTGGCACGTGGAGGAACATAGTTCTCTTGTGAATGCCAGTGCCGTTAAATGGAGATGTGGTAGTCAAGGAGATTGACGTTTGCCCGATTTGACAGATTTCTGACGAAATTATAAAGAAACAGGTATTTTATGGGCTTCATCCTGATACATGTCAAAAGTATTTCTAATACCATGTAAAAATTTTGATTCCAAATGTCAATTTGCCTCGATCCTTTACAAAGCATCTGTACTTCGATTTACATTGGCGATATAACTAAAATGACGTCAATACAATATAAAGCCACTATACTCCGCGGTCGAAATTATAGAGAGTGACTCATCGCTAGCTTTTGGACTAGTAAGGGGGATGAAGCGTGCCGGGAACGAAAATCCATTGGCGTGTCTGCGTAAAAGGCAACAAGATATAGAAAATATTGAAAAAAGATAATAAAACATAACATCTAATATTTTCTACGGTTTGATATAATCGGCATTTTGATCCATTTTAATTATTACAGCATTTTAAAACGTCCCAGTTGTGTTTTTTTAATTTATAAATTTATTATAGCCATGGAATTAGACCCCTCGTCTACGCTTATGCTATGACGTTTCTCAGGACGGGTAAATCAAGTCCGTTTACACCCACTAAAAAAGCATTTCCCTATTCCCTACCAAGTGCAAAAGACAGAGATAGAATATAGATCGACGTTCAGTGTAACTCAGTCTATAGACGATTATAGATTCTATCGATGTGCGTAGCGAGCGGCACAAAGATAAATAATATTGAACCGTATAAAAATCATTTTATATTTTATACGCATTATGGTAATAGTGTTTTTATTTATGTCTGAGTCACTCTCTATAATTTCTACCGCGGAGTATAGGCGTTTATTAGAGACTAATGGTAGGTAGGTACTATTCTGTAATTTTCCGACAGCACTGTATCTTAGCAACAATTTATCAGACATAAGCATAACGTTTACAGAAACATTTATGTTTGCTTTTCTGTACATTTTAGACCTGATTAATACTTTTTTAATTACATTTACTAAAACTTATAAAGGTTGAAGGTTATCTGTTACAGTCGCTCCAACATATTACAAAATAGTACCGTAAATTCCGATTATTTTGCCGTTAAACGACGATTTGGCATATCGGGTTTGACATTTAATTAATTCTTGCAGTTCTGTTTTTTTTAATCGAATTTGTAAAGTAAAAGAGCCAAAAATATAGATGTATTGGCTATAATAAGCTTTGACTAGTGCATCCGTTCCGTATACGCTCTATGGGGTTAAAATCGGGTGAGAATGCTGGCCATGAAATTCGATTTATACCATCAATTAATAATTATTTACGATTTCAACGCGATAAATCGGAGTAAGAAGGAATGACATCTGCTGGATAATTTCGAAATTACACATCTTTGAATTTATGTACCTCCATCTTCGAGTGTTCTACCTCGATTGATATTTCTCTAATAACTGTAAAGACAATTGACACAATTGATTCTACGATTCCGATAGACGCAAAAAATTCAATAAAATGAGACAATTGTTTTTACTATTGGCCGTTGTTGGCCCTGTCAACTTAGCAACACACTGGAACATAATAGTATTGCTAAATACTAATAGCGTAGAAATTTGATGAAAGTTTATAATTTTAATAATTATACTAATGTTTATATAACATAGAATATTTTGAAAATGACCCTATTGTAATGAAAACTATAAATTTTCTAAAGATGACTAATAAAAATCAAGTCGTTATTTGAGTTTTAATAAATCTAGGTTCCATTTTCTAAGAGTATAAGATTTCAATATTTTAAATAGAAAAAACAAAAGTTCCGCCACGAGGCGAGGCCGAGTACAACAACCCTTATTTCTAAAATATTAAGAGAAAGGGACTTAAAATTTTCATTTTACTTTTAAAATTAAACGTAATTAACGATCATCAAGTTTTTTTTACCAAAAAGTAGATAACGCACCGGCATTTTCTACGCACACTGATACATGTTACATAACGAGTCTTCCTGTGTTAAAAATCAGCTTAAAAGAGATAGAGATAGAGCTAGCAATATGGCAAACCATTTCATTTAGTGCAAATCCGAACATAAAAACAATTAAAGCCCAATTCGTTTCTCAAGTTCATTTCCTCAAAAAAAAAAACACGAAAAATATAGTATATACGGATGAATATGAGGAACGAATTTTTACATCACACGCTTGCTTCGTAAAATACATAGAAAATTAATCAAAAGTCGTGTTCTGGGTATGTGTATAACCTCAAAAATTGTCGGTTTAGTTGTTGTACCTGAACTGCATTTTAATGTAAAAGTGTCAAAATTAAAAGAAATTATTTTCCGTTTATTGTTACAGTTAAAAAAATTAAAACAGAACAAATTTAAATATTTTCTATTTGAACGATTAGAAGCGTTAAAAATAACATTTTTTTTATTTACTCAAATATAAACGGTTAGTTTTTTATTCTCTGATTAGGCAAAGTACGATACTTTGACTATCAGTGTTACCAGATGCGCTAGATAAAGTTATTTTTCGTTTGTTGTTAACAGTTAAACAAAATTAAACAGAACAAAGTTATATATTATTTTTGAACGATTAGAAGCGTCGAAAATAACAATTATTTATTTACTTAAATATAAATGGCCACTTTCTGATGAGGCAAAGTACGATACTTTGTCGATGCTACTAAAGGCGTCAAAGTTATTTTCCGTTTGCTATTACAGTTAAAAAAATTAAAACAATAAATTAGTATTTTCTTTTTAAACGATTGAACGATATAAACGGATACTTTGTCACTTTCTGATGGCGTAAAGTACAATATACATTGTCCATTAATGCTACTAAAGGCGTCAAAGTTCTTTTCCGTATGCTATTATGGTTAAAAAATTAAAACAATAAATTTGTATTTTCTTTTTGAACAATTGGAAGCGTAGAACAATTATTTATATACTTAAATATAAACGGATACTTTGTCACTTTCTGATGGCGTAAAGTACGATACAATGTCGATTAATGCTACTAAAGGCGCCAAAGTTCTTTTCCGTTTGCTATTAGGGTTAAAAAATTAAAACAATAAATTTGTATTTTCTTTTTGAACAATTGGAAGCGAATAACAATTATTTATTTACTTAAATATAAACGGATACTTTGTCACTTTCTGATGAGGCAAAGTACGATACTTTGTCGATTAATGCTACTAAAGGCGTCAAAGTTCTTTTCCGTTTGCTATTATAACTAAAAAATTAAAACAATAAATTTGTATTTTCTTTTTGAACAATTGGAAGCGTAGAAAATAACAATTATTTATTTGCTTAAGTATAAACGGTTACTTTGTCACTTTCTGATGGCGTAAAGTACAATACTTTGTCGATTAATTCTACTAAAGGCGTCAAAGTTCTTTTCCGTTTGCTATCACAGTTAAAAAATTAAAACAATAAATTTGTATTTTCTTTTTGAACTATTGGACTATAAACGGATATTTTGTCACTGTCTGATGGCGTAAAGTATGATACTTTGTCGATTAATGCTACTAAAAGCTCTAGATAAAGTTCTTTTCCGTTTGCTGTTATAGTTAAAAAAATGAAACGCAACAAATTTGTATTTTTTTTAAGATTAGAAGCGTTGAAAATAACAATTATTTATTTACTTAAATATAAACGAATACTTTGTCATTTCTAAGGAGGCAAAGTGCGAACTTTCTCGATCAGAAGCGAATGAAATAAATTGATGTTACTCGAGTACAAACCGATACTTTGCTAAGGGAAAGTACGTTACTTTGTCGATTTACTATTAAATGCGTCAGACAAGGTTCTTTATGGTTTGCTGTTATAGTTTCAAAAATATTACGATTGAAAATAGATATTTTATTTATTTAGTTGAATATGACATGTATATACGTTGTCACTTTCTGATGAGGCAAAGTATGAACTTTGTCGGTCGTTTTGCGAGACGCGAGACAAACAGGTACTTTGCCGCTTATTGTTGCAAAATGAAGAAAGCCATCGTATCAATCAAAGCATTTGGGAAGGGAAGGTACAATATTATTTACACAGAATTTGCGATACTACCACCTGACAATTCACATTATAAGTGCAGCTAGGTACAGAAAAACGATCCGCGATCTCAGGCGAACATTCGTTCCCGTTCGCCACAAAATAAAAATAAAATTGTATTACGTGTATCAACTTGTACTTGTAAGTGCAAGTGTTATATGACACTATAGTGACCACAACATTTATCATAGAACTACAGAGATACACAGTTTAATATCAAAAAGCAAAAAAAAATATCTGCAAGTGTGTGATGGTTAATATGTATTACATACTTAGATTTTAGTTTACTTATGTGTAAGATATCTAACTTCCTATATACAGGGTGTTTGGGGACAAGCTGTATTACTCACAAAAGAAAGAAAATCAACTCAGAAGGGCGGTGATAATAACAGAGTCAAAAGCCTACATTTCTATCTAAAAAGAACACCCTGTATATGAAGTTGTTTACGGATATGTATAAAATGTATCGACAGAGGGACGAATTGTTGGAAAAATTCTATTTTTCTTATTGGTTATTCAATTAAACAAGCATTAGTGCTTTCTACAGGAAATTTTAGTGTTTGTGAGAAATACATAAGAGAAGGCCAATGCCAAGAAGGTAATTACAGACTGTTGGGACCTAAATAAGGTGATTTAGACTTAACTTGCTTACGTACATACAAAAAAATTATTTTAAAAGATAGTTTTTTTTCTTAATATCTTCGATGATTTTTAGAGGAAATACTACTTTCATCACCATCTATCTACCATCTATCACACCATCTATCTTTCAAAGACAGCTTTGTAAAAATGGAAAGTTTACACAAATTATCTTATTTTGATCCCAGGAATCTGCGATTAACAGAAATGGACACCCTTATGTCATAAAAATTGGTCCTTCGAAACCGGATGCCCAACACAGTTTTCTTTCTAACGACACAAAATTAAGACTTTTCTACTATTTAACTTGTTATACAGGGTGTCTCAAAACGTTACTGGATAAATTTTGAATTAGTATTCGGCAGAACTTAATAAGGGCACAAACACTGCCGAAACTCGACTTTTTGCAACAACTCGTCCCCCACCCTAGAACGTCCCATTTACCTTTATTCCTCCCCCTCATCTGGTTCTCCCTGGGCGGGGGCGGGGGACCCCTGGCCCCGGGACCCACGCCCCTTCCCCTCTGCCCCCCTCGCATGGGCCCGCCCTGCTGGGACGTCTGGCCGGCGCCGTACTGCTCCGACGCCTCCGTGAGGAAGTTTGAGGGCACCAGGCCCCTCACGCCGTCGATTTCGCCCATGTAGAAGCCGTCGTCGTCCATCTCCCCGTACACGTTGATGATCTGGCCGGTGCTGAAGCTCAGTTCTACCTGCAGTTGGGTCGAAAGGGTTTTGGTAGAGCTTTGAGTTCGAGAAAGCGGGTGACAGGTGGTTCGGGTGGCCGGAAGCGAAATTCTCTCCGTGGGGCTCGGATCTGGTGTGCGTGGTGGACGGTGGTGGTGTGACATTGATTGTGGAGTGGTTCAGACATGTGACGGCGATAAATTGTAGTGGATGAGATTAAGGTGTTTGTCCGTGGGGTTTAGATCTGGTGTGTACGGTGGACGGTGTGAAATTGGTAGTGGGGTGGTTCAGATGTTTGAGAGTATTTGGTGAATTGTGGTAGGTGAGATAAGGAGGTGTTTTATGATGAAAAGGAAGAATGTTATTCTGAAGAATTAAGATGTGGCTAGTTTGGTGAATGAAGAAATAGTTAAAGTTGCACGTGTAGAAGAAAATGTGTGGAAATGGTGTACGTATAAGAATTAGTTGAAAATTTGCTTATTCCAAAAGAAGAAAGTGTTAAAATTCATAATACATTCAGAAACCAGCAAAATGCACGATGAGAAGTTAAGAAATAACAAAATAATAGGGTCGCTTTACTATTTTCACAAACTTTTTCAAGAAATATGTTTTTAATTAAATTCCGAGATTTTTAGGAAGTTCCTTGAAACATTACAAACAAAACTAATTATGTTACCTATTGACTTAATTTCTTGTATTTTTACTTTTTACGGTTATATTTCGTTTTATATAAGACGAGTTATGAAAACGACGCAGCAATTAAATGGTACAAAATAAACTTATCCATGATCGCTGTGAATGAAATACAGGGCGAATCATAAAATGTGTAGGTACTTATATTTTAAGACCCACATATAATCAAGTAATAGTTTATTTGCGAGAAAAAGTAAAAGAAAATGGGGAAAGGAAAGAGGAAAAAAATAAAAAAGAAACCTCAATCTCTTGATATTTGTAATAAATGTGTACACTATAGTCGTTTAGAAATGAAAGAGAGTAATAAAAGCTCATTAGGTATGCAAATCGTAAATAAATGTAGTACAGGTGCTTATATTAAATATTTTTATATTATGCATTTTCCGTATAGATGAGGTCTACTTTTAACAAAACTTTGTGCGATCGGACTGTACTAAATTGTAGCAGGTAGCTAAAATTTAATCCCCGACAATCCGTCTTTGTCTATGCCGCTTCAATTTCTCGGTCCATTTCTCTTATAAGTAAACAATATAAAAACAGCATTTCAAAACATGAGGCTACTTTAAGCATCATAACCGGGTTAAGAGGGTTTTTAGTAATTCAAATAAAATTATTCAATATTATTATCAAAATATTTATTTAAATTTAATGAATAGACTTTTATTCCACACAAAAATATATGTATTTTGAAAATTCAAATTATGGTGAGTAAATGTAGTGTTGTATAAATGTACAATAAAGAAAATAAAAAAGTAGGTATATTAAAATTCATCCTCTGAATATTCTGATGAATTATCTTCGTCTCCTAGATTGATAACGATAGGTTCCACAGTAACGTCAATTAAATTATCGAGTTCCCACATTTTCTCCTCTTCTTTTTGTACATGATGTATACATCTTTGCCAGTTATCTGCAGTTACTCGTTCCAAGGAATTTTTTAACAAAATTTTCACGTCACTTAATTTAAACGTCGTATTATTTCGCGCTACATCTCCTTTTACCTGCGCCCAGACTAATTCGATTGGGTTAAGTTCACAGTGATAAGGTGGTAACCGTAGTACCGTTATTTGGCGATTTGTTGCCATTTCATCGATAACATATTTTTTCTGATCTTTATTAAGATTGACAAGTGTCAAAAGTTCCTTTTTCACCATATTTGTTTCAAAAGAAATGTTTTTTCCGGATAACCATTGAATTATATCGGCTTTCCTCCAAGCAGTCGTAGGCGTCCGCTCGGTCTGCCGTGAATGGTAACTGGCATTATCCATGACAATTACAGACCCCGGAGGAATAAGATCCAACATCTGTGTAAAATACTCTTCGAAAACATCTGCGTTCATGTCTTCGTGATAGTCACCTGTATTTTTAGATTCAAATAAAAGTAAACCGCCATCTACAAAACCACTGGCACTACCTATATGTGTCACTATTAATCTTCGCCCTTTACCTGAAGGTGCCTTGAACCCTGTTGAAAGTCCATCCAAAAATGCTTGTCGAAAACTTTTTACATTTTTATCTTGCCATACTTTTGTTACAGTATATCCCTCGTTGACCCAAGTTTCGTCTAGATAATAAATATTCCTCCCTTCGTCACGGAATTTTCTAATTGATCTTAAGTAGGATCTTCGCCAACAAATAATTTCATCTTTATCGATAAGAACTGACTTCCTGTTCTGCTTTTCCCAGCAAAAATTCAACTCTCGTAAGACGGCCCATAATTTGCTTCTACTGATTTTTGGCAAATCGTTGTCCTCTGAAAGTTCACTTAAAATTTTGTTTAGCGTTGGTATTTCTTTTTTAAAATAAAATGAGTGTACTTTTCTGCGAATGACATTTTTGAAGAAATCATCTATAACGACTTTTGACCTCCCTGTAGATGATTTTGGGGGATTTACAGTATCTTGTTCATTTTTTGTTTCCTTTAAAAGTCTGTAGATAGTCGATTTTCCAATCCCTGTCATTTTGGAACACTTTTCCACGATGTCGTCAACACTGTTGGTAGGATTTTGGTGTTTCAATGCATTAAATACATTTAATATAATAATCTTCTCATTCTGAGACAGCGCACATCTTTTCACGCGTTTAGCAGGTACGTAATCTGATAAGCTCGACATTTTACCCAAACAATATTATATCCACTGGCACAATAGTCACTAAACACAAGTCGAATTTTACTCTACTGCACTAGCACGTCTTCGTATATTCAGCTCTAAGACTGGATTGATCTGTCACAATACACTGGCTCCTGCCCTATGATGTATCCAGTAAAATATACTAATGTACACCCATTACCTGTTAGCATTAGTGTTACCCGATAATTACCTGAAACGAAATATTACCACGCTCATGGCCGGTTCTTATCTCGGGGTTTTATTACTCTCTTTCATTTCCAAACAGACTATAAATGATCTACTCTTTGGCTTTTACCCTATTTACCGTTTACGTACGTTCATTTGGCATATTCTTTGATGTCGTACCAATCCGCTTGTAAAATTTTTGAAGCATGTGCACTTTCATTGCACAGAAAATATGTTTTTAACATATCCATCATCTTAATTTTTTTTGAAGTCACCGTCGTATTTCATTGGAGTACGCATAGTTTACAAAATATTAATTAAATATACTTAAAGACACTTAAATACACCGTTTGTGAAAATAACAAATCGACAAAAATACATCAATTCGTCGACAATAAAACAATAATAACCGTCGAGTTCGGGGATAGACGGCTCTTAAAAGGACTGGACTCAATTTACTAGTGTAAATATGAAGATGTCGTTTACACAAAATATGTCCCACTGCAGTAATAAAATTAATATTAGACAGTAACGTTAAATATAAAAGTAAAGAAAATACGTAAAAAGGAAAATACTTATCCTACAAAATTTAAATTTTTCCGGAAGTTCATTTTAACACTGCTAGCAAAAAATAGATTATGTGGGGGCGTACAAGTGGGTACTCAAAAGAAATTAAAGATTGCAATAGGTTGTAGTATCCCGGCAGATGCCAGATTGTGGTTGCTGCTACTACAGTGGAACAGCCAAGAAACAATGACCAAAAAGGTAAATATATAATTTTTTTAAATATTAACTTGGAAGAAATTAGATAAATAAAACAAAATGATAAAATTATTGAAATAAATGAAAATGTAACAGAAGTTATAATATTTAATTTTTTAGGTAACTGTCAAAATGAATAGAATTTTATAAAAATTCGGATAAAATAATCACTTACATGTAACAGAAGTTATAATATTTAATTTTTTAGGTAACTGTCAAAATGAATGGAATTTTATAAAAATTCGTATAAAATAATCACTTACAATTTTTTTAATTCCTTTTCAGACTTTATTAAAAACTATTCAACATTAGTTTGGTTTTTATTTATTACATTAATGGCTTGTATAGGGTGATTCACTATATTTTGACCTCCCCCCCCCCATTAACCTTTTTGTTTTAAGTTTAAGAGTTATAAAAAAATGTGAAATACAAAAGTAGCACGAATTTTTATGAAGTTTTCGAAAATGATAGTAGTAGAAAAACAAATGATGTCCAAACAAAATGCCGCGGATGTTAACTTTGTTAATTTAAATGGAACACCCTGTATATGTTTACATATTTGGATAGAACGTTCCCTGTCGAGCATAGTCATGCAGGGTTTGTTGGGTCCATCTCTAACAATAAGCGAGATAATATTAAAAAACGAAAAGAAGGTTTTTTATTAAGAAAATAAGTCATTTTGGTAATTGTTAGACCCCTTTTAGGCCTTGGTAGGCCGTGACAGTGACAGGTAATGTTATGACAACATTGTTATTGTTTGACAGTTTGTATTATTATTTAATTAAAATGAGTTACACATAAATAGAAAATTGAAATAGAGTAAGTTATTCTCCATACTCTTTTTTAATTCCTAATAATATTTCAATTTTCTACTTCTGTGTAACCCATTTTAATGAAATAATAATACAAACTGTCAATCAATAACAATGTTATCATGACATTACTACCTGTCACTGTCACGGGCTACTATATAACATTGTCCATTACTAAATAGGCCTCTCGCGGCCTAATTAGTAACATTTAGTTGAAATACCTATACGCATTTTGGATCATATCAATGTGCGATATGTCAAAATATTACAACTAAATCTGTAAATCCTTAAGTAATTGGAAAAAAGGCAGAAATGCCTGAAAGAGGTCTAACAATTAAAAAATGTCTTATTTTCTTAATAAAAAAACCTTCATTTCGTTTTTTAATATTATCTCGCTTATTGTTACAGGTGGACCAACAAACCCTATATGACTATATTAAACAGGGAACGTTCTATCCAAATATGTAAAAATATACAGGGTATACTATCATTTTCGAAAACTTCATAAAAAATCGTGAAACTTTTATATTTCACATTTTTTTATAACTCTTAAAACAAAAAAGTTAAAGGGGAGTCAAAATATAGTGAATCTCCCTGTACTTCTGTAAATGCATATCAAAGGACTGAAATGGGAGTGTGGGCCTACTACGACTCTGTTAAGAGCCGCCCTCCCGAGCTCACGCGGACTGAGGTTTACGGAACATGCACATTGTGACAGACACTAAAAACATGTGTACACAGTTAAGATTATTCGCCCAGTATATTACAAATTCGTTCACAACTTCTTTAGTCCGACCCTGCATAAAAAGTAAATCTTACTTTCGAATCTCAAAAACGCCAAATGCGATTTTTCCCGGCGCTGATGCTCACCTCAGCGTCCACATTGGGACTCAGCTCCTGGGGATCGTAGTCGTAGAGGGCGACCATCCTCTTCACGGGCATGTTAGCGTAAATGTCGCCCCACCTGTCCCTGTTCTGGTTGCCTTCCAGCTCCATAACCATGTTGTGGGGCACGTAACCCCTCCTCCCTAAAAGAAACAATTCCATTAAAGAAGGAAACAGTATCGAGAATGTACTCCGCAAGGCCCTATCTATGTAGCCGTAAAGAAACATTTGTCAATACGTTCGTTGAAAGATATTTTTGGTACACCCTTGTAGGATCGACGAAACTGATAATAGTAATAAGCCAACCCCTCCTACGTCCGCCAACCGTTCTATTCCTATTCATTAACAAAAGTGACACGAGTTGTTTTAAAAAGTAATGTCATATCCTTGTCGATGCAGTTTTCAGTCGGCCTCAAACTAAGCGTTTGTGTGCACGTGCCTTTATTTTTAACCTTTGTGGTCTATTGAAGTTACTTGCAATTGCAATGTACAAAAATTCGTTCGATCGATTCGATCTCTAAATCGCAGGCAGAGACGAATTAAAAACCCCAATATTGACTGAGTGATTAAAAATGTGGGTTTGGTTTGTTGCTTTATAGTCAAAGTGATTGTGTTATTGAATAAAGAAAAAGTTCCTGTACGAGCTCGTTAAAATTCAAACAAATTACGCCGACATTTATGCATCGCGATCAATCGCCAACAAAGTAGTGAATGTCGTGAGGCGAACTAAGGTTTACAGTGAAAGGACGAGGTTATTGTTGTTTTTTTCCCTAGCGGAAGTTTGCAATGGTTAAGAAAGGTAGGTGGAACGTAAGGTACCGTAATTTCAATTAAAAATGTAATTGATTTTGGTTGTTGACGCGCTTCGTGAATTTCGCAGGCACGTGTATTTGGCTGCTTCCCATGTGTCTTGAAATGTCTATAAATATTTATAAAGTAAATGCATTGTACAAAACGAGTGTAAACATCAGTCTCTGAAAATTAGCCGCATATAATACACTAGTCACAAAAATTAAGGGATATTAATAAATTCTTCAAAGACCTGTAATTTGGAGGGAAATTGTCGTAGAGAGAATGAAAAAAAAGGAAATTGAAGCTTCAAGTTTCTAGTTTTCGGATCTCGAGTTTAAATTTTTTTAGCGTTAGCGGTTTTTGAGTAAACCAACGGAAAATTTTTTTCCAAATTTGTGCTGGTCTTTAAAAAGGTCTATAGACCTTTTTGCACCATAAAACTCATTTAGATAATTTAATTCCCTTCAATTTAAGCGGTTCTGGAGTTCTGTACAATGGTTTGTCGACGAGTTATCAACCATCAAAGCAAAAAAGTAATTTTTGACTTTAGTCCAGTTGGTAGAGGTTCAGCCTGTGTCAAACCTTAATAACTCGGAAATAACTACACATGAATACTTTAAATGATGAGTACAATAACAGGCTAGTTTGCTGACAAAGTATTTTATCAGGAAAAAAAAGTTATTAACAATTTAATCGTGAATTGTTTTTTTTTTTAGTAGTTTTCTTTAAATAACTCAGCGGGATGACTTTGTACGATAAAATGCTTGGGACATGATTTTGTTCGTAATAAAAATTGCTACAAAATGGCGGTCCGATTACGAAATTTGCAATAACAAAGCCGTGAGATTGAAAAAACGGTATAAAACGTCAATTTTTTAAAGTTGCTGTAAAAACGTCAATTATAAACAAAAAGTTATAAAACTTTCGGAAACTATAGTTCAATATATATACAATAATGACGCTAAAGCCGAAAATCAGGAGAGCAAAACTTTTTGTTCTATAAGG